TGAAGCTTTGAAAATAACTATAAATAAACTATATATCAATCGCGGCATTTTTCCCCCCCAGAAAGATGCAAGGTTAACCCTAACATTTTATTTTAAGATTTAACATTTGTAGATGGTCTAAAGCAAGAGTTGTAAAAATTCTGAAATTCTTTTAGAGCTTATGATTTGTTTAAAAAAATAAAAAATATTACACGTTAATGAATAAATCAGTATATATAAAATTATTTAATTTACAAGTTTAAAAAAAAAATTTCATGTAAACTATAGCTTCTGACCTTTAAATAAAAAAATACTCATTATTTTATGACATCAATTACTGCTTTATTTAATCAGAAACACAGTCTAAATTTTATTTGTGTAGGCTATTTTACTTTTAATTTATTTAGAAGTAGGCCAACAGCGCCCCCTACAGATTAAAACTCCTTACTGAGCGGGCGTTAGGACCCGGGGGAGGCTGCCGCTGCACGCGCTATTACTGTTTACTCTATCATACACTAAACGCATCATTCTGTACGTGCTTTCACAGATTAAATGCAGCGATCCAAACAGTCAATCTAATCATCATTCAGACAAAACTTTGCTTCAAGAATGAGCCACAATGCTGACGTGATCTAATCGCTAGCACACCCTGAGCACATGTGAGTTAACGCATTCCTCTTATCGGCAAGACATAGCCGCATAATTTTTCATATTGGGCCGATGCCGATATTTACATTTAAAGCCATTATCGGCCAATTCCGATATCAGTCCGATAATATCGTGCATCCCTATTCATAACGCTTCCTCCACTGTGAGCCTGTGCACTCCTCTAAACTGTCCGGGTGCTGCACTGCTCTCGCAGTTGACTGCTGCACTTTTGTTCTGACAATATCACGTTATTAACAACCCTTAACTGAACGTTACTGCTGCTCTCCACACCCACTTATTGACATGTCGTTTTACATTCAGCACACAGTGAAAATTACATGAATATGATAGTGGGCAAATAATGCGCAGCATAGTTTGAAATCATGAGTTTAAAGTGTGTCAATCATGCGTCTCCAGAGAAGCTGAACTCTCCTCCTGTCTGCATTTAATTCGCATGGACCAACCGTCACACAGAGCACACGCTGTCATGCAGGATACAAATGCATACTTCACAAGATCTCACAACTAGATTCGACTAAGTCTGCAAGGTTTGTGAAATCAAATGTTTATTAGACATTCAAAGATTTGTTTAAATTATATAAATGCGTATTTGCTGAATGCTGACGGTAAATGAGAAAGTATTATAATGTTTGCCTTTCTATTACTAATAATATAAAAGCAATCGTTATAAAATTTTTTGTATACATTTTAATTCATTTGTTTAACAGTTCTATCTGATTATTAGACAGACTTCTATCTGTATTAGGCAGAACTGTTAAACGATGACAGCAAACAATGAAGAGTGAGAATGTGAGCGCTGTGTGCACAGGCGCTGCTGTTCTCAGCACAGTCAAAATAAAAGTCTCAAACATATCAGCCAAACAGAAAAACTTATTTGCCGATTCCGATATTTGAAAAATGTAAACTATCGGCCGATATATCGGCCTTGGCGATATAGCAATCAACCACTAGTGGTAACGATAATTTACCGTCATACCACCCAGCCATATACAGTGGTGTGAAAAAGTGTTGGCCCCCTTCCTGATTTCTTATTTTTTTGCATGTTTGTCACACTTTAATGTTTCAGATCATCAAACAAATTGAAATATTAGTCAAAGATAACACAAGTAAACACAACATGCAGTTTTTAAATGAAGGTTTTTATTATTAAGGGAAAGCAAAATCCAAAACTACATGGCCCTGTGTGAAGAAGTGTTTGCCCCCCTGTTAAACTGTGGTTTATCACACCTGAGTTCAATTTCTCTAGCCACACCCAGG